AAGCAACTCCCTCTACAAAACTTCTGTTTCACTCATGGAAAAATATTAACTTTGACAATGAGACTGTTTCCACAATGTGATAACTTAAACACACACTAATTCAGTCACTGTTTGAGTGTTTTTCACATTCAATAATTGAAAGATTTTCAGTCGGCCATAAGAACATGCTACAGCATTGCTAGTTCCATTCAGAGCTTCAACAAGAACAGGAGGGAGGGCTCACAAAGTTCCCCTGCAGGACAGGTTAGCAAAGCTACATCTTTAATATACTACAGAGTATACATTTTATGAACTAGAAAGAAAGAACAATACCTGCAAAACATCACCTTCAGTTATGGATTACAATTATATCCATAGCTGACTATTAAAATCTTGCTCCTGCTCCAAAATGTTCTGATCCTTATTTCCTACGGTCTCCAAATCTCATTTGGGGCAATTCCGAAAATTAAGATTACAGACCCTTTCAAAACAAATGACTTAGAGCACAAATTGACATACTAAACATCAGCATTTAAAAATCAGGCTATTTTTAAAAGAATAACTATCTTTAAAAAAAGCCTACTGATGCTTTTGAGCTCATGGCTGGGTTTGCTCCTGCACAGGGAGCTCTGCTGCCGACATGCAAAGCCTGAACACAAGACAGTGCATTTTACTGGTTTAGACTTTTCATCTCAAAGCATTTACTAGAGAAAAGAGTTTTCCTTAACTACTCTAAATTCCACTGCAGAGTTTTGCTAGCATATTTATACTTAGCTTTGCAGGTTTTCACACCTAGTTCAAAAAGCTGTCAAAAAACCTAATGTATCAGGAAATCTGCGATAGCAATGTGGGTTCATTTTCACAAATGCGACCATTTCCTCATCAGAAGGGAAGTTTTGTTTTACCTCCAGCCAGTTGGCCGACTGCTAAACTCCACCTTACTCAATATGCCTCCCTGAACAAGTAGAACTACACTGAGGCATAACCTTACTGAAAGAGGCGGGGTTCCTCTCTGATACCATGTTTGACAATACACGTACTTTTATGCTCAGCATTTTAAGGAATGTGAGCTATTTTTACATTAAAAAACATCGTGATGTTCTCTAACTTCCCATCAATACTCTCCCCTTTCTTCACTAAAGACATCTGTTTTCTCAGACTATCAGACTATCTCCACAACAACATGGCTATTTAACTCCTGTGCTTTGTAGTAAGAGGGATTTACATTGCAAAAAGAAAAAAAGACAAAAAAACCTACAGCAAACGCATCCTGGTGAGTCACCAAAAGGCACTGACTACAGAACATCCTTAGGATTCAAACAGTTGCAGCCCTATTTTGTGTATGCTGCTATTTATTAACAAGTATTTACATTAACAAATACATCTTCTATAATGAGAACAATCTCTTCTGTTAAGCACTGCTTATATTCATGTAAATAAATTGCAATTTGTATATACACACTAATAAGCTCACAGAAAAAAACAAAACATTTTTATATATGCTTATCAGTTTGACATAGCCACAGGTAGAACAATTCGTACAGGAACTGAAACATAACTACACTGCATAAAATGGTTATTGAGCTTAAAAAAAACCCTACTTCAAACGTCATAGATAAATAAATAGATTTTGTATTCAAGACTTAATCAGAGGACAAATTACCTCTGAAGTGAAGGAAAGTGATGATTTTCCACTGCTGCCTCCCTTAAAAGTTCTGGACTTCAATATTTCCACCTCTCTCATCTAACTTTTATTTACAGACTGAAACATAAACATAATATTTTCTTTTCCCACCTAACTGAAATGTTCTTAACTTTCAGAGACCTACAGAACACCACAAACCACTGTGTCTCAAAGAAGCTGTCTTTAGTACTGGCCAGCCCCCGGTGATACATGGGATAGAACAGCTCCCCTTTGAGGACAGGCTGAGAGGGCTGGGGCTGTTCAGCCTGCAGTACAGAAGGCTCTAGGGAGACCTGAGAGCAGCCCTTCTGTGTCTGAAAAGGGGCTATAAAAAAGAGACAGACTCTTAGCAGGCTCTGTTGCGACAAAACAACAGAAAATGGTTTCAAGCTAAAAAATGTGAGATTTGGATGGATATAAGAACAGCTTTTTATGATGAGGGTGGTGAGGCACTGCAACAGGCTGCCCAGAGAGCTGCTGGGTGCCCTGCCCCTGGAGACACTCAAGGCTGGACAGGGCTCTGAGCAACCTGATCTAGCTGTGGTGTCCGTTCATTGCAGGGGAGGTTGGACTAGATGGCCTTTAAAGGTCCCTTCCAACTCAAACAATTCTATGATACACCATCCTGCACATGGAAACAAAGTTCTCTCGCAATTGCTCTTCTCCTTCCTTGGTTTTTGAGCTCCTTCACCTGAACTAAGCACTTCTTTCTGCCTCTGCAGCACTTACAGTTCCTGCCTGCACAAAGAGGAAGACAAAAACCAAGTGCAATTCACAACTTGTGGTATCACTTAATCCCTCACTGTAGCTACATCTCTATCAAAATTTCCCATAGCATCACCACTGTCTGTCAGCCTTTGATGGCCTTTATTTCATGTAAAGGGAGAAAGTTACACAAAGAAGCAATCTGATTATTCTCTGTGAAAATGAATGTCTGTATGCCCACCATTCCTTCTGGATTTACATTACAGTCCCTGTTAGATGAGGGAGAAGTGCGTGCTTTCCATATGCTAGCCAGCAGCATTATTTTAGCTCACTAAAACGCAATGTTTAAGAAAAATCTTGCCTAGCTTCATAAATATTAGCTTAAAAAAAATTCTGTATCATTCACAGAAAGTTGAGACATCAGGAATGAATTAAACTGAAGAAATTCAGTGCAAGATATATACATGTACATGAAGTATTCGCTCTTCTAAATTTCATTCCTTATACAGTATTCATTTAGTGGCTCAGTAGAAGGCAAATCCACTTCATTTTACAATAACTCAGATCCTCCAAATGCTTTAAACTGAATATATATTCTACTTAGTTAACTTAGAGTGTACAAAGTTACCAGTTTAATACCACCAGAAAATGATTACAGTTTTTAAGCAGTACACATTTTTGTTGTAAAATGATAGCACAACTTAAATATATCCGTGCTTTCAAAAGCATTGCTAAAAGGATACCTAAAATAAGTTACATGTCAGAGTCAAATATAAATCCATAAACAGCTTCTCCAAACACTGGTGAGAGCCACAGAACACAGTGAATGCTTATTTCAGCATGGATATATATATATAACACTGATAAACCTTCTAAGAGGTACAGATTCATGAAAACTAATCCACATGCCTCTTCTGTGAAAAATTAAAATCTGGAGGTATCACAAGACCTGCACGGATATTTATTTGCTTTTCCGTGAGCTTGCAGCATTATTCATCTTTGTTTTATTGCCAGTAAATATACAGCCAGGCTTGGAAAACTCCAATCATGTAAAACGATCAATTTTATAGAGGACTGAAATGGGTAGAGGAATCAATTTAAATTTGCAATGGAAAAACGCTGACTTTATTCAATTATACGAAGGCAGGAGGAGCCTCCAAGAAGTCTGCACCAATTTGGAGAAAAAAGAAAAACTGCAATTAAAGGACAAAAGAAAGTTCAGAACTTAACTTCATCAGTCAGTTGAGCACAGGCAGTGCTTCTCAGCTCACAGAGAGGTAAGAAGAAAGCGTCACTGTATCTTACATTATTTGACAGGACAAAAGGCAATAAGAACGAACTGAAACAGGAAGTTCTGTTTGGCACAAGGAAGGAAGCACTTCTGCTCTTTGTGGGCGGCTGAGTGCTGGCATAGGTTACTCCTCTTTTGGGATCTTCAGAAGCAGCCTGGATGTAATCATGGGTAACCTGCTTGGGCCGGGTGAACCCTGAGGTTTCTGCTAACCTTAGCCATCCTCCAGCCCTGTGATCTTAACTTGCACACTCAGCATGTTCAGGCATATAGTCTATCAAGTGGATTAAAGATACTTGTATGTTCCAGAAAGAATACAATCACAGACTGACACACATAACACATGTGAATCTGAACCAAATAGAAGACCAATCTCAAAACCTGTGGCTGGGAATAGAAATTAGGGATCCACACACTCAGCATCTTGGCCCACAAGTGCCTCTCCAGCTCTGAAACACAGCCCTGCCAATCTAGAAAAGTACAGAGAATCTACGTTATTGTAACCATTTACAACATTTCTGGATATCCATCTCCTAACTTCAGAGAAGTCTGAAGCATTTATTTTTCCTGACGTCTCCAACACTTAAGTCACCTCAAAGCTTCTGCGTTTTTTTAGGACAGAAATGCATAACACTGTGCATTGTGTGAAGACGTGAGCCGTGCACATGAAGCACCGCAGGCTCTGAGCAGGCAGATGCCACGAAGCTGGCTCCGAGGAGAAGGCAGGGAGTTCTGGTAACGGAGCTCTTGTAATACAGGCTGCTCCTTCAGAGATGTCCTGGGAAAACCTGCTTGAAGCCGGAGGAGTTGCCACGGCCACAAGCAGAGATCACACACACACACACACGGGCAGCACGAACCCTCTGACACCCCTTCCCCCGCTGCTGCCACCTAAGAGGAAACGAGAAAGCCTTCCTCGCCCCACACCCTTCCTCCCCTAGGGCACCCCGGCTCGGGGGCCAGGCCGAGGCACGGCCCCATCCCTGGGGAGAGCAAGAGGCCCGGGAAAGGGGAAGCGGAGATGGAGGAAGGGCCGGAGGAGCCTTTTCTACTCCCGGCTCGCCGCTAAGCGCCCCCCGGCCGCCGCCGCCCCCAGCGCACACGGGATCCCGCCCCGCCGGGCCCGGCTCTCCCGTCCGCCTCGCACCCTACAAGGAGCGGCGGGAGCTGCCCCGGGCCGGCCCTGCCCCCCTCCTGCCCGCGGACCCTCCTCCAGCCCCCGGCTGACGGGCCGAGCCGCGGCCCCGAACGGCGACGGTCCCGCAGCCCGCCGACTCAGAGGACCGGAGAAGAGCGGGGTTCGGCGGCGGGAAGCGGCATCCCCACGCTGCCCACCCCTACCTTCTCTTCATCTGAGAGCTGCTCCTCCAGGTCCGCCATCTTGCCGTCCGGCGCCCCGCGGCTCCGCCCTCGCATGCAGGAAGGGCGCCCCCGCCCCTACGGCTGCGGCGCGTCTGCGCATGCGCGCTGCGGGGGCGGGAGCCGGCTGCGAGAAGGGCGGGCGGTGGGCGGGGCGTGCCTGGCGCCCACGGAGAAGGCGGGGGGTGGTGGCGTTAGGAAAGCTGTGGTTGGGTTTGGGGACTGTGAAATTGAGTGTCTTCATCTACCAGGAGCATAGGGGATGGTGGAAGAACTAGCGCTGGGTGGGAGTGCTCCTCATCTCCTGTCAGGCGCTGCTCAGGAGGTGGTTTCCTCCAGAGCCCTTCTGGTGGGGCTGTCTGAGCTCAGGGAGATGGGAGGAAGCCCTGAGGAAGCTGAAATGCTGTGGTGAAAAAGGAAACCGAAGGCTGAGAAGAGTCAGATGATGTTTCTGAGATATCCTTCCTGTTTTCTCAATGACAACTAGAGAAAACACGGGAAATGAGGGAGTAAGCCAACCAAGTTCTGCTGCTTGGGCTGTGTGGAATACTGGGATAAAGGCTGAATAAAATGACTGTAAGCACCATCTCATTAATAGGGGTGCCAGTTTCCGGAGTGGTACAATAGCACATGCACATGAAATAACACAAAAATCCTCATTCCGCATTCTAAAAAAATGACAACCCTTCAGTGCTATGAGGTGAATCCAAACAGTACATCTTTCAGTTGTATTAGTACTAGGAAACCAAAATGACAGCTTGGAGCTTGAGAAAGATCACACGATTACTATAATTAAGTTTGTGGGTAGGGTCTTGTAATGAGGATGTTGGAATTGATGGTTAGACCTTGTTCCTCAGAATTGAAAAGCTAAGAGGGTTAGTATGTTATGCCAGAGTGGCTATTAGCTGTTACAAAGCCCAGGTTTTGGAATAATAAGATAATTAAAGTTCTTATTCGTTAAATGAAATATGATCTACAATGGTCCACCTAATCTTGCTGTAGAGTAAGGTGAAATTCTTAAGGATTTATTCCCAGTATGTGGGAGGAATTAAGTTTTTATCATTGTTTCAAAGTGAAGGAAGTATGGCAGAGCATACTTTCACATCCAGTGATAATTTTATGAAAAGAATTAAAAAAGCAGAGTTTCTTCTTGTTAACCACAGTGTATTCACCCAAGCTGTGATGGATAAGGAACAGCAGATCATTGACTGGAAAATGTACAGGTGTCAAGATAGATCTAAGTAGATTATAATTAGTGGTGTGATACAGTCACCTTCTAGCAAAAGATCTTGGTGTGCTCAAAGGTTCATCCGTCTCTGTTGCAACAGCAGCCATATAAAATTGCTTAATACCGTCATGTGCAGTACAGCAAATTATTCCCAGTATTTGTAGCATTCTAGATGCCCTAAAGGGACTGTTGTATTTAAATAAAAGAAAGCAATATTGCACAAGTAGTTGTTGCAGGTCAAGTGGGCACTGGAAAATTACAATGCCACTGAAAATATATAAACAAAAGATGAAAATGAAAAAGTCAGTGAATGTACAATTTGGGCAATACATTTGATTCAGAAAAGTTGAAGAGAGATTTTAAATATTGTAGCTGTGGTGGACAAAGTTAATGAACAGTTCATGTTCGTGTTGGGAACAAAATAAACAACATACAAACCTTATATGTGATGAGGTCCTTGCTAGAGGGAAAGCAGTGAAGCGTAGAGCAAGAAAGGTATGTCTTGATGTAGTTTGGTTTGGGAACATCTCACACTTGTTGTTTGGAGTCAACAACTACTGTTAATGGTCTGTAGCAGGGAAAGCATCGTGTCGCATTCAGTTTCACGCAACAGGAATTGATAATTTCTACACAGGAGTCTTAAAGCTGGGGAGGTCTGTGTTGATTTTGGGATTTGCCAGCTACTGGGATATTGCCAAGGAAACTGCTTTATTTAAAACGTAAAAAGAGGATCACTCAAGAAGGTAGGTCTTGGCAAATAAACATGACTGATTTTCTCATAAGATACGATATCTACCTGCTGGTTTTACTGTGTTTAAACAAGAGATTTTTTCTTAAAATTTGCAGAAATTTGTCATGGTGAGAGGAATGATTCAGGAGAGGACTGTCTAGTCATCACAGGTATTAGTGGGAACCTTCTGCATATTGCACTGGCAGGTACTTTACTGTGACCTTAGGACTTAATGGGAAATGAATAATCAGAATAATGTGGAAATAAGTACTGCTCTTGCCTTATGACTCAGTGTTTTGAAGTGATTTTATGTCTTTTCAGGAAGAATATGGACACTTCAGAGGGAGTTTAAAGGAAAGAGAACTAAAAATATTTCTGAAGATGCAGAGCAAATTGCAGGATGGGAAGCTTAAGGATGCCAAGATTAAGAAGTGACTTAGAAAATATCTCCTCAGGGGGTGACTGCAGTATAAATAAAGCAGTGATGCCTGTGTTAGTTTGGAATTTATCTGCATCTTATCTGAAGTTATATTTCCTCACCTGCTGTTTTAATTTGAGCAAACTCAATTTCCAACCACTAGCTCTTATGCTATGAAGTTCATCTACATTAGCTTTTTTATGTGCCACTGTCTCTACACATTGATCAAAGGTTAATTTGCAGTAAAGTGAAACATACAATTGCTAACTAGCCAGCCCACGTTTAAATGAATTTCTAATCCCACATTGGAACTCACTCTGGGCTGCCCAGTCTGTCTGATGAGCAGTGTGTGGTTTACTGGTGCAAGGAGAGAAGGACAATTTAAAATAGAAAAGCAGCTATTGAATTCTACTTAATTCAAACACTGTATAGCTACCGATCAAGTACCTTGCTGTTTTGCAATGAGAAGTGTACCTCGTACCTCCCTGTTTAATGCAGAGGATGCTTCTTAGGTTAGTGGTGAACCTGGGCTGAGCTTAGCACCTGCTCAGATGGTGCTTCCAGCCATGTGGCAGGAGAAGCTCTTGGAATGGTGTGCAGGGCTGTCCTTGCTACTTGCCCCTCTCTGTGGGAAGCACTTTCCTTCATCCTGACATCTTTCAATACAAATCCTCACATTACGGTGAGCTGGTGGGAGGCATACTTCAATTCCTGAGGTTGCCAAATACATATCAGATCTTAGAGCCTTGAGAATTGCCTGCCAGTTTGCATCTATATTTGGGGGAAGAGGGGAGCAGTATTTGATCTTTGCTAACCTCCCAGTTCACTCTTTTTACCTTACAGAACCTTAACAGTTAAAGTAAACAGGTTTGTTCTAGAAGAATTGAATGCTAAATCCTTATATTAAATGCTTAAAGCCATGTAGGGAAGAAAGCTATAATGAAGTCTAACTCTAGTGCAAACTTTAGATTGAGCTTCCTCCTTGGCTAACACAATCTTTTAGGCTGCAGCAGGTATTCAAGAGAATGACTCAGTAGCCCTTCACCATCTGTGGAAGTCTTATTTCTGAGGATATTTAGACTTTTTCAGTGACATTTCTAAGATTGTCGCAACATTATGTTTCACAACTATAATGTTTTTTAAAACGCTTTTAAAAATTTTGCATCGTATTTTATGTTTAGGACTATGCATGTCATAAGTATCAGGATGACAGGCTTGATATTTAGAGTGGATTTTTTTTTGCTATGTTTTAGGGGATGATTTTACCATTGCATTCAAATTTGATCCAGGCTTGCTCTGTGGCTTCCTACTCTGCTTCTATTCTTGGGAGCTTTCTCAGCTTCTTTTTCCACCCCACCCCCTCCAGGAATAGTCAGCTATATATCTTGCCTTATGTAATTCAAATTCACAGTCCTAGGTTTGCCTTTCTTTTGACACGTATCTATGTTTTAGGAATTATGAAGGCTGCTCTGAAAGTAATGGCTCCTATTTTTGTTAATTTGGCCCACAGCCAGAGGTGTTGATATGGCAGTAGAGGTTGAAACTTTCCACCAATATTCTGTTAAATTTTGTTGCCATGCAAGCAGCAGAGGGGCAGTCTGACAAAATGGCATTTGACATGGAAGTGCATAGTAGCAAAGGTGTGTCATTGGATTCTCCAAGTGGAAAAAAATGGAACCCGTTGACATTCATCAATGCTTGCTGTAGGTTTGTGGAAATCAAACAGTGGATGAGAGCATAGTGAGGTAGTGGGTGGTGTGTTTCAGCAATGACACCATCACAGCAGCTGTGTGACAGTGGGTCACCAGCATTGGTGCAGGTTTTTACGAGTGAAGCATGAAAACTCTTGTTTATTGCCGGTGAAAATATATACCTAATGATGGTGACTGTATTGAAAAATGGTGTTTTGTTGCTGAGAATTTGCTCTGTTGAGTAGTGTTATTGTGCTCTTTGTTATAATATCCCTGGAAATAAATTTGAGGCATTACTTTTTGAGCAACCGATGGTGATAGCCATGTTGTTTCTTAGCTTCATCTTAAATGCAGACCAGTAGCTCCCTGTTTGCAGCAAGACTTACTTCTCCCCCAGAGAAAAGGTACCAAAGGAGGTATACTCGTTCAGAGTGGGATTATTTATTTGTGTTACGGAATTTATATTCAGAGATAGGAATGCACAAATGCAGGGTGAAAAAGAGTGAGTGTTGAGCATCCAAAAAGCAGTTGACCAAAGGAAGGAAATACAGCTTTGTCTTGTTGGCTGCTACTCCTGCTTCAGCAGAGATAGGAAGTTGCAGGTCTTTGAAGGGAGGGTTCAGTGGGCTGTGGTGGCAGCAGCAATTGCAAAGGGGTGGAGGCAACAAGAAGATGATAAGTATGAAATGCTGCACAATAAAATATCTAGGCAGGTCTGAGCTACATTTTAGAAGAAGCAATGCTTACATAATCTAGATTATGTGTTGATTTTCAGAGGTGCTAAAAATTGGATGTTTTGTTGATTCTGAAGCATGTAATCTTCACTCACTGTGTAGGTGTCAGTAGGCTTCTCCCAACACATTTGTTATCTTTGCTATTTTAGTATGTGAACCACTTAAAAGCTACGGTGTTAGCTTTTAAAATCTTGCCTACTTACCCACCTTTTTCTTCACCTGCCCCTTTGACTTCTTGAATGTGTTGTTTGATAAAGTTGTCAGATTTGCAAAAGACTTCATCTAAAATTCTCTGCTGACAGAATCCTGATTTCCTTCTGAAATGCAGAAATGGAGCACTGTTGAGTAAGGAAGGTTATTGGCTGCTTATAAACATCTTTCATTACAGAATACCTTAATAATTTGATTATGATCTATTTCACTATGGAGAGTAAAATGGCATTCTAAAAGTATTCTTCCAGTTAGCAGTGTTAGATGGATTGCCAGTATCAGTCAATTTTAAGGGTTAAAATTACAACATCAGAGTTTGCAGGAAAAATTGCAAGACTACTTGGAATCTAGCATTTTCTCTACCATTTTTTTCAGTGTCTGTAGAAAAATTTCTAATTTAAACATTAGTCTGTGCTACTGATTTTCTAATAAATTATATTATAGCCTTGTGCTTTGACAGAACTTTGGAAAGAACGATATTAACATGCATATATGTTAGCATGCTGTTTTTCAAAGATACATAAATTAGCTATATACAGTTACACATACAGCTAGAGGGTGTCAAGAACATTGATAAGCTGGAAAAGGGTTCAAAAAGAATAATTAGGGACTGGAAAATGTGAGCAATTCAATCTGGTTCATCAACAAAAAGCTTGAATGTTTGTAAGTTTTCTGATCAGAAAGTTGCTAATAGGATGTTTTGGTACAGTAGAGTGTGACATGACCAGATATTGAAACAGGACGCTTTCAAGCTACAAACGAACATAAATTTTACTTGCCAGAGTAGTTGACTATTGGGACAATTTAGCCAGAACAGCACTGGGTCTAGCAAATGTAGAGCAAGTATTTGATGCTTTTCTAGAAGAAAAATTCTACAGTGCAGCAAGGAATTAAGTCTATGGCCTCTGCTGTAGAAGAAGGTAGCGAGGAAGATCCTGAAGCGATCCCACATGATGTTGTAGGGTATGATTCTGTTAACCATTCTCCAGCTTGACAACTGATGGAGAGAAATTCAAGTAGCTCCAATGAGAGAGCGAAAGAAGAGAGAGCTTGAGCACAGCAAACACTCCAAAGTGGAAGGGGATTTGGCTGCTAAAAGGGAGTGATAAAAAAGCACCAGGGAAGTTACTGAAGTTGAAATGGACATTAACAGATTAGAGGTCAGAGTCAAATAGAAGGCCTGTGAAGATGAGAGCATTTAAAATGAGATTATTTGGGGAGTTTTTTCAATGCTTCATCTGTAAACATCTGAGTCTGAGCTGCTGACCCTGGGTTCCCATTACATCAACAGGGAGATATAAGCATGCCAGGGGTGAGATTTGTTTGACCTAGTTAAGATGCCTGCTTTAGGATAAGACTGTTGGTTCTAATGGGGTTGCCTAGTTCAGATCCAGATGTTTAAATATGGGGGCCTATGTTATGAGAGCTGAATCCCCTTTCAGTGTGAAAAGATTAGGGGCAAGAGGGAGATGGACTGAGGAATGGGGACATGGGCTGAGGGAAAAGCAAAACAGGGCTGAAGTTACAAGGCTAATTAAAGGGAGAAAAGATGATAGTTAATTCACCATTATTCTGTGCTCCTTGGGGAACTCATGGTCAAGGAGGTAAATCTGTGTTTATCCATGAAGGACTTTGTAACAGTTTTCGTTCTCTCTGTAGAAAACTTGCTTGAGTATCAGGAATGCTGTATTGGTAGCTGTGAATAATACGGAGGTAGAGCAGGATTAGCAAGAGGAGATTGGGATTATGAGGTGGGAGGATCAAAGCATGAGGGTTCTACATTCAATAATAGTTGAAGAGGGCTTTTAATTGCATGTGTGAAAACATCTCTGAGACTTCTCAAAAATTAATCTAGCTCTTCTTTGGTGCACAGCATTTGTTTGCCTTTACTCTAGCCTGGATAGGTTGGGAACAGAAGGGAGGTCCAGGAGAAAGCAGCAGTGGTGCCATGAAAAAGCAAATAAAACTGAGGAAAGCAAAGGAGCTGGAGCACTGCTCTCCCCAGCCATAAACTTACAGGAGTAGAGCAGCCAACAGGATTTGAAAAGCTCCATGAGAAACCACACAAATTCCTTTCCTTCCCTCTCACTGAGCCTGGTTCCTGTTTATATTTTAGTTATTCCCTTCTGAAAAAAGAAGTGTAGTACTCTAAATGGATTTATTTATAATGGGACATTGTTTAGCAATTCTTTTTTTTTTAACAGGAAATGGCAAGTGTGCTGATTTGTATAATGAGGTTGAGATTCACTGGAGGAGTCCAAATTCCTTTTTCTTTTCCTCTCTATAGAAATGAATTTCTTATGATAAAATCTCGGTTAAGATAAACCATACAAGAAAATACGATGGCTGAGATTTTCTGTGCCTGTGTAGATCAAGAACAATGCTACTTCTAGCTTCCTGACACTATGGGGCCTTCATATTTGATCTTGTGTCATCTAGTAAAAAATATGTTTATTGGAAGAGCTTGATACAAAAAAAGTGTTAAAAAATGAGATGTGCATAGCACTAAAATGGTTTGCTCTCTGATATTGTTACAGTAACAACCACTGTCTTTGAACAAAAGCAACTCTTCACGGCATCTCATAGGATACTCCAGTCCTTTACAAGAAAAGGATTCCTTAAAAGCATAACCATGTTGTATATTGATAAAGTCTCATGCACCTATTAAAATACTTTTTTCTCTGCACTGTTTCATAGAAGACTGAGTGATATAAGTTACCTATAATAGGCATGTAAACTCTATACAGCAGAAGTTATCTTTGCCTTTAGAGCACTAAACCTGTTTACTTGGGACATCTTTCATCTCT